GGAATCAAAAACAGGCACACACACAGAGGACATCAATTCTGCCTGGGCTTACATCTCATTGTGTAAAGTTGCTTCAATCGAGCTGTGTGTCCTTCTCTGAAACGATGACAAAAGCTGGTGCCATAGTCGACATTCCCCGACATTAATCAACGAACAACAAACTGCTTCTCACCAGCAACAGTTCACGAGAGAGTGACTTCACAATGATTTGAAAGCATTGGAGGTTCCCTAGGACCCGCTGTCATTGTTCCGAAAAGAGGTGCCAGCGTCAATCGATGGTCTTGTTGTCCATTGGAATCTCCAAACTGGTGTTGACGACACTGAGACACGCCGTCCTCCAGGTAATGGAAGATTTTCAAGAGCATAATGCCATAATGCAGCTGAATGAGTATCAGAGATGCTAATGCTGATGAGCAGAGCACTTTCTTTGTCTCAATCGCTACTCTCATCATCCAAGACACCCCAACAAAAAAAAAGTTACCAGCAGCAACAAAGGACGCAATTCCAGTACCTTATGCGACAATTCGGAGATTTCACAACGATATGTATCGTTTAAGGCACTTAAGACTTACCCATAGCCACTCCAGTCAATATGAAATAATAGCTGTGGGGTGTAAATAACGTCGATGAAAGTCACAGGATGCCGTTTTGAGTTTCTGTATCAAAATAGTACAGCTCAACAAATACAGATCATCCAGCATGGTAACCAGGCAATTCTTGTAGTTCACATTCGACATTATTCCCCACAAACAGTGTGTCCTTGATAATCAAGAGATGCCATGTGTGTGATGTTCCATGAGCCAAAGTAAGAATATGGACGACGGCTTGGAAGACAACAGAGTTCGCGTCAAACTCATGATAAGCCATTCTAACAATTCACATCATGTAGTCGGTTATCGACAGGATCTTCTATAGCCTTTGTGTTTTCAACCTCTCTGATGAGTTGTGTAAATTGAGCCTGTTTCATGGAATGTTCTGAATTTTGTAAATCACTGTCATGCTCAATTCTAATTCGAGACGGCACACCTGGAAGTCATGACAAAGCGTTCGGATCTGTCACAAGTAATGCTTCTGGGTCCATACAATCCTCTGAGCGTACTGTAATGGTTACCCCTGTGTTCGGTTGTGTATCAATAACACCTATTTCCTGGACCATTGTATTTATGGATATTTCAAGGCTGACAACGACAGAGGTCTTCAGAAACACCGGAGAATATTCAGACAAGTCTCATAGTATACCTTAGCTTCTGAACAATCCTTCAGGAATGGTGTACAACCGTCCTTTTGTCTGACATCCCTAAATGGAAGCTGTTCCAAGAACCACCAAGACCATAACCAACTTCAATTCGAAATCGATGTAGTTCAATGAAGATTGAGAATCACGCCACTGTGATAATACCATGCTGTAGCTATGTCTATTCTTCATTAACTATTGGTACTGTTACTTCTCTTTTGATTGGTGTCGAGTAACGGCGGCGTGTTTCAAGAGACATCTCAGGTTTGTGTTTCACTTGGACCAAGTAGCAATGGAGAGCCACACAATACCAATAAACAACAGCAAACAGAACCACCAAGGTGTTGATATGGCCCGTGTATACACCTCTTCCATCTGCTGCTCTTGAAACCAAATGGAAATGCCAACTCAGATGTGTAGACGTGTTGATTCATGAGCGTATGAACGTTTAGCCAAGGAGATAAGGCTATACGTTATTGAACCGAGCCACTGAAGAGGCATATCGATCAGCGCTTCAAGTGATAAGCAGTTAGAGT